ATATTATTTGTAGTTATAGTAATAGATTTTGAGTTTGAATTACTTGACATATAAGTGAATTAATCAACTTATATTATACATTACAAAATAAAAAAGTAAATTAATAATCTTAATAAAACTATTACAAAAGTTGTCAACTTTTCTAAAAAAAAAATTTCAACTATTTTCCTACTAAAAACTTTCTCAAAAAAGTTATATCAAACATGCCTAAGAAGTTTTACCAAGGGAAAACCTATCCATATTGCAGACATTGAAAATGTGAAGAAATTCAAAGATTTTATCCTTTCCATCAAATTTGGTAAGTTAAAACAGTCGTAAAATGGGTATAATGGGGAATTGAAAAGGATGTTGTAATTTTAAACTTTTGATGATTTAAAAAGTTTTGCACTTAAAAAAATTTGACTTTAAATTAAAAATTTGTTTGAATTTTAAGACAAATGAAAAGAAATCTACTAAACTAAATGATATATCTCATTATGTAACCCCATAATTAAAAAAAAAAAAAGCCTACAAACTTTTGATTCCTTTCAAAAAAAATTTAAAAGATAAATTTAAGGATGTGTTTGGTTGACCACTTAAGCTGAGCTAAAATTATGTTAGTTTGCTCCATGATATGTAATTTTTCTAGGCTAGTGGATATAAGCAATTACCAATTGAGGTAATTGGTTAAAAAGGCTATCTTCTTTTTCAAAAAAAAAAAAAAACCAGTTTGGGTTCTGAAGTCCATAATCAAGTATCTCTAATTGTTATTGGTTATAACACGTATCATTTATATTCTTCATGTAACCACTTAAAAATTTACATCAATATTTATGTCATAATTTCTAAAATCCTAAGTCAAGCCATAGTTTCTTTTGGTTAATGGCTTTCCTAGAAATGCCTTTCATGATAGCTTTACCTAAATAATCGTTAAAATTTTGTTTAGTATGAAGGTAACTTTAATTAAAAAGTGATTAAAAAAATATTATATAATACATTTATAAATTTTATAATAAAATTTTGTTAGCATTATTAACTTTTTACATTCCGTAAGAAGTTGATGTTAATAAAATTGGAGTAAAAGTAGTGGAGTTGGTCTTATATTGACATTGGAAAGTAAAAGAGGGAAACTCCTTTTTCTTCTTGGATATGTGAAAGAAAAGTTACTGAATAAAAATTGTGTTTAAAAAATGTTTGTTGAAAATAACAACTTTACCTATATCAATGTATAAAAATACTCACCTAACTCTAAAGAATCAAGGTTAAATGTTAAATTTGGTTCCTCAACTTTATAGAGTTGCACTTTTTTGGTCCTTTAATAATTTTTTGCACTTTTTTAATCCATCAACTCTAAGAAATGCACAACATTAGTCCTTTTGTCAATTTGGGCCGTTAACTCTGCTCATGTGGCATTTTTTATATTTTTTTGATGATATGAAGAGCACAACTTAAAAAAGTATTGATATGGACAAAACATTTTGCTATGTCATGTTCCTGCGACTTAAAGGCGCCAAATCCATTCAAATGGGCCCCACATTGCCTACAAAGCACCAATAAAGGGGTAAAATACTTGTCAACCCTAAATTGCTCTTTCATCTCCACTCTTGCAAAATCGATCATAACCCATTTCTTCTTCTTGTCTGAATGCTCTCTCATCTCCACTCCATCTACAAAATTGATTTTAACCCATTTCTTCTTCTTTTCTTTTCTCGGGGGAACTTGAGAAATTGACCAAATGTAGGGAATTCGTGATGAGACTTGCTCGAGTTGGGTTGCCTCTACTGCTAGTGGGGGTGAATCCTTACAAAATAATATGTCTATGAACCCTAGAATGCTTCAAAGGAGAATTTGAGTTCTCTGTCATCGAACCCAGTTATTGGGTTTCATTAAAGCCATTGGGTTCATCAAACCCAGCAGATCTCATCAAATCAAATTAACCATTCAATAAACAATATCAATCAAACTCTAATCCAATTTCAACAAAAATGCAATCAAATTGTAAATTAACTCCCAAATTTATCAAGAACTTGGAATGGAAATCGAAAGAAGAATGAAAAAACATGAACCCAGCGTCGAAACCTAGCAACTTAGCAAGGTTGGGTTTGCGCGACCAACAAGGCTAAGTTCAACAAAACCCAGCAGATGTGGGTTTCGTTGAACCCAGCTTCATCGGAACCCAGCCGATCTGGGTTTCGATGAACCCAGCAAGACTAGGTTTCAACGAAACCCAGTCGATCTGGGTTCGGTATTTCCATCGACCCAAGGTAGGAAAGAAAGAAAGAAGGGGAAGAAGAGGGATTTGAAGGGTGAGGGTAATAACATAATTTTATTTATTTCTTATTAAAATATAAATATTTGTCTACATGACATTTTTATTTATCTATATAACATAATTAAATATATATTATTGCCATGTCAAAAAAAAAAAATAAAAGAAAATGTCACATGGAATTATTTAACTGTCACATCATACTTAATTGACGAAGAGATCAAAACTGTACAATTTTTAGAGTCGAGGGATAAAAAAAGAACAAAAAATAATTGAAAGATCAAAAAATACAAACCTATAAAGTTGAGCGACCAAAATTAACATTTAACCAAGAATCATATTATTGCCATGTCAAAAAAAAAAAATAAAAGAA